GATTATAGAATCTGCCCGAGCGCATACTCGAGGGGGTGGAGGTTGTAGGCCGTGGAGATGGGGTTCCCCAGGAACAACCCTCCGTATTGTTGCTCTCTTCGACGATTCACGCCGAATGAGTTTCGTATGACGATATAATGGCGCATCGCGACGATGAACTGGCGGGTTTCCTCTTTCGTGCGTAATGACGGATGCATTTTGAATACGGCATTAACGAGCAATTAATAATAGTGTATCTTTCCGCAGCAGCGGTAATTTGTCATGATGTCAGCGTTTGTTTTGTACGAATACGAATAATGATTTCTTTTAGTGCAGACAAACATGTTTCTGAGTATCTATTAAAAAAGCAACTAAAAAACTTTTATACATATCTATGACTTTGTATAAATTTATTACGAGATGAATTTATTTTCTACTCCATAATCTTAAAGTTTTAAATTATTTAAATATCGTATTTAATATAAATACTTTTTTTTTTTACTTCAATTGAATTTAATTTTTTTTTTTTGTGATTAGATTACAATGCAAATATAAACAAATTCGTGTATTAATTTAATCAAAATTAATCTGTGATTTTGATGCAATTTTTTTAAAAAAATTGTTAATGCAGTATAAAAATAGCAAGATATATATTTTTTAGATGTATATATGTATATATATAGAAATATTTTTTTTAAAAACAACTTTTTAGAAATTGTTTAGAAAATATATTTAATTATATAATAAGGCTATAATAATGCGATAATTGGAAAAAAAAGTTTAATAATATCATAGCAATCTCTAATGTAAAGTAACTTGTAATTTGATCGGATTTTTCATCATTAAGAGTTCGCTCGGTATAGATAAGATCGAATAAGTTCAGTCCGCCGGAAACATAATTGCGATTTATGTTTCGCCATCATCGTGGAGGGGGGGAGGGGGACCGTCTGCTCGCTTACCCTCGTGAATAGCATCTCACGAGATGTTCGAATGACTGTAAGAAAATCTTTAATTCACCCCTAGCCCGCCCGCCCACTCGCCTAAGCGAGCCGGAAATGATGAATTTGCGAGTCTTATCGCGAGGACGAAATGACGTTTCATGACGGGGGGTGCGGGAACGGCAAATAAATAAGTTGTCTTTACGAGCGAGAGACAATGCTCCCGGGGATGTAATCCTTAGCGACCCTCTCTTGATTATGAAATCTCTTATCGGAAATGACGGTGTCGTGAGAGCAAAATTAGATTTGCTGTAGGGATCCATTGTGCATAGGCTACCGAAAATGACAGCTGGCCGAAATTATAATCCCCAGAGTTCATTGTAGGTTCGAGGTAGTCGTCCGTCGAGATCGAGGGCTCGATAGTAGAACGAAAGCATATTTTCGGACTAAAGTCGAGTCATTAATCAAAACGAGTGCCGCTTGATTGTCGCTATTGTACACGGTCGAAGACAATTAGCGACGACTAGGAGAAATTTAACGCATTTCTCGCTATTCACCTAGTTCGAAGTTTGAGCAAACTTCGCGATGCAAATGCCGTTGGTGTTAAGCGAACATTGCAATGTCTTATCATGATGCTCCTCCCCTGGATACAGACTTCGGCCCGAATGTACCCGTTGAAACTTATCGCAATTTGTAAACTCGACTTCTTACGTGTGAATTTTCGAGAAAACGAGGAGAAGCGCCTTTGCTCGCTATCGCTAACGTTAAAGTTGGAACGTGAATGTTAATTTCTGCCAGTATAATCAAAATGCGTACGCAATTTTACGAAATATATAGTTTAATTAAATTAAATTCTAAGAAAGAGATGGAAAATCGAACAAAAATTGATAAATGTAATCAGTATACATGTTTATACAAATATATTATTTTTTATTGAAATCAATAGCATGCATGAAAAGTCTCACGCTTATACTTCCAATTTTTATAAAAAAAAAAAAAAAAAAAACACAGTTTGTACTCAGAGACCATGTCGATATTAATTTACGCTAGCTAGTTTCATGTTTTTAAAAACATTTGTAAAAATTTGTAAAAATAATGAGCAATGTAAATTGAATGTTTTTATGTTTTTTCTTTTTTTTAAATTTATTTCGAGATATTTAATATGTTCGATGATTACACTCCATTGCATGGTAGATCTGATAAGTCGTTCCGACTTATAGAAAGATGTCGTAAAAGCAGCTTGTGTCCCGAGTTTAGGGGGAGGGAGGGGGAGGGAGCGCGCAAGCGAGATCCTTTAATTGACCGCACGCAAGAACTCATCCCGATGAGTCAGTTAGGCTAATTAAGGAAGTTCCTCCGTTAGGAAGGACGTTTGTAACCTTTCCGCATCCTTGCACGGGCTATTATACAAACGGGTCTTTCTCTCGGTTTCTTGAACGGTGCATTTGCATTATCCGCTATAAAAATAATCATCATGCCCAGATTTCACTAAAGATATCTTTAACAAAACCTGAAATTTAACGGCAAAAGTAGTTAAAATTAATGATTATTTATTCAGGAGATTCTTAGCACGCTCCGGAAATGGAATGAATTTAACAGGTAGAGGCAAGTATGCTACTGTGCTCCATGACACAGAATTTATTTCTACGAAATGATTATTTTCTGAACAAGAATATTTAGAAAGATAATCTGGTAAAAATGGGCCATCAAAAATAAACGTATGATACATGAAAAATGGAATAATATAATACTTTCCGTTCGTTTTAGGATGACATCTTTGAATTATTTAGAAATCTTATTGCTGTACATTTTCGTAATATCTTCCAAAAAGGTCTCACGGAAACGAGAACGAGATAGAGAGAGAGAGAGATCGACTTTTTTTGTCGGCAATTTGCGGCGGTTTCAATTTTCATGCCGTTGTCGATTACGTCAGACACGACCCGCGTCACACGCGAGCTGCTCGCATCAGCGGCGTAGTCCGATTCTCTATCTCGAGCTCGCTTTTTTAATCCGTATTCAATTATTTTCGCAGCATCCACCGCTGCGCGCGGTTTCAGTATTTACGAGATCAACTGTTACATAGCGGTGCGCGCTTGCATCCGCTAAAAAAAAAAAAGAAAAAAAAGAAAAATTATTTAGGCGAACTGACCTCGATCCTGTATTTCGATTACACGACTCGTTCATCGCATTGTGCTTGCATTGGAATACATATATATGTGTACTATATACGTATATATAAAAAAAATATATATATATGTGTATATGTATATACTTTTTTTTCCACTGCTCGTTTGAGTTTTCTCCCGTGAAACGCGTTGTCAATTTGACAATCGATAGCGGCACGCTCGTGTGCGGGAAGCAATCGGCCGCCGAACGCAAATCCATTATCGCCCCACTTAATCCGCGTGAAACGCAAATCAACCGTCAGTTGCGATGTGGGCATTCGTCGCGCTTTAAGCCCCGCATAGTTAACCGCGTGTAATCGCGCATCGGCGCTTTTCCAAACTACGCAACTCGAGAAATTCCCACGGACTTAACAAGCAGTTCCAGTTGCGGCAGAGCCGGCTCGCCGTAAATTCGATAATGATTCCCCTTCTCGTTGCGCCGTCATTTCCATTCGTCAGGTAGCCCGGGTTTACGTGCGCGAAGTTAACGAGCTAATGAGCTTGCGGAGCTGAGAGAGAGAGAGAGAGAGAGAGAGAGAGAGAGAGAGAGAGAGAG